TGATGTGATACAGCAATTTGTATACGGGGTAAAAGCGGGAGTTCATAATCCACTTGAATCAAACCGTGTAATATGATGTATTAAGAACTATGTAATGTTATGAACGACCAATAAAAAAAAAAAAGACATGAAAAAATAAATAAATAAATAAATAAATTTTATATGTCATGAAAAAAAAAAAAGAAGTAAAATATATGCCTTGGTTACTATCAGTGATGTTTATAACTCCAAAGAAGATAAGGAGTATTCTGTCGAGGCTTTGTACTGTGGCCTTACTTGGTATAGAGACATGTGATTGTGACTTATATTTTGGGTATCTGTGAGGCAAGATATTCCTAGAGTTCTTCACCCTGAATGGGAGAATTCTAATGCAATGGACCAACCTTTGTAACAAATGTGAACATGAAACCACTTTAGGCCAATACATTCTGTGCTAAGGTAAACACCCAAAATATGGGCAATTGTGCTGTCCTTTGGGTATCATCCATTATCATAGAACATAGATGCTAGAAGCTAGAAAGATAGAAGATAGAAAGCAGGAACATTCAATTGAGCTCCATAATTTAGGATAGTGATAATGTCATTCCTATAGTATACAAAATCCCATTACTGTTTATTTTATTAATTCCAAGGAATTGTCCAGGGGGCCAAAGGATATAGGGCAGGGGTGACATCATCCAGTATATGGCATGTGGCAAGGGACTGAAGACAGAGAGGCCATCCCCTCCTGCAAATGGAGTGTGTCAGAAGGCCCAGGTTTGTCTCCATCTTGTATTAAGGAGGCCTTGATAATCATGCCAAGCTTGCAGGGTGATATTTCTGGGGCCCAGAGAATAATGGGCAGCTGGATATGGAGAGTCAGAAGCTCAGGGTTTGTGAAAGTCTCTATTTCTAGAAGAACCCAGAATATAGTCGACATTTCTGTTTTAAAGGTGTATAGCATGGAGATAAGGGTGGCATTTTTCCATTAGAAGCCCTTGGGCAAATTATAATTGACCTAAGTGGCCAAGGACTCTGAGA